TATTTTAAATCCAAAGGATTCAGTCTTTAGATTGGGTATTCAGACTCTGTGAAATCACGAACTGTACGTAATTTCAGTTTCCTTTCTACCTAATGAAAATGAAATTCAGTCTGTTTAATTTTCATGAGGATAGGCAGGATGGCAGTAGCTTTGAGCATACCACTAGGGATGAGTTAAAAATAGATTTTTCTTGAGGCAGTGACTTATATGGTAGATAGTTGACAGGAGAGAAAAATTAAATTAAATTTTGGGCTTGTATCATAAATACTAAATCTGAATTCCACTTAAGGATATATAAGAAAAAAATTGAAATGGTTTTCATTTGAAGATGATAGAATAAACATTTAGTGTGGGTGTGCTGTTGAAATATTTTCTAGATAAAACTTAATGTGTAACAATATGAAAATATTGTAACTTGTTTTTAGTTATGTATTTGGTGGAGTAACTGAGGCCAGGCTAGGTTATAGGTGACTAACCATGTTAATAGTGATATTAGAGTACTTCAGCTCCGATTACAAATAGATCGGGAAAGGTCAAGAATGAATTATGCTTTTCAGTGTTACTAATAAAATAGTAAAATAGGTTTGATAAGTTTTACATACACCAGAAACTTTGTAGATTGTGAAAAGCCTTCATTATACTTATTTTTGCTTATTTACCATGCATAAACTTTTCAGTGTCAGTTTTTTTCACGTTTGTGTTTTCTGGTAGCACATAACACCGATAGCTACTATTAACTTGCCAAAAAAAAAAGGAAAAAAAATAGCAAAGTGAAATAAGTTTTAACTGTTGCTCTGTTCTTTTTAGCTTACATTACCCAGAGTTCTTTCATCCAGTGAGTTGCAAGCGTGACATTTGCTGTGTTTTCAGCACCTGCCAACTTGGAAACCGGGGTTTGTGCTCAGGACTTAGGCTTACAACCCACACTTTGTGGTGCACAATGCTGTCCCAGCTGGCAGGCTTCGTACCTCAATGGTGCTAGACGTTTCGTTACAAAGCTGGGCCGATTCACGTGCACTGATTTCAATAGGCATTCCGCTTCAAGCTGCTTTCAACTCTCATTTTGTATCAAAGGAGTTAGATTGGTATCATTAAATTCACTGCCATGGTTATTTTTCAATGAAAATAAATTTGTTTTCTTTAGTTCTTGAATCAAAAAGTAACTGTCTTCAAGAATCAAAGTACCTCTTAATAAAGGTATGTGCATAGATATGGGAGATACCCCTTTCTCTCTCTCTATGTGTGGATATATCTGTCTATATGGAAGAGATTCCAGCCAGAGCTATAATTCATTTTCATCATTGGAAAGGTTTCAGAACACAATATAAAAAGGACAGAAAGGGAAGAACAGAAGGATTAGTATGTCATCACATGCTTATGTAGGTAGGGCTGTTAGTTGTAGCTGGCTCATAGATGGGGGAACAATTATAGAACTTATTTTTCTGAATAAGATCTATGTAAGAAAATTGCCCCTATAGTAGATTCAGATTTTTGGCTTTCATCTATAACCAAAAACTTTACATATTATTCAAAGAAATGTATTTTGCTAACTTGTTTTCTTTCAGTAGCCAGTTTCTTTGAAAATGGTTCAGGTGGACTTGGTCATGTCTGTCTTCCCATCATCTGTTACAAGCAATTTTAAAAGCTTCTGCTTTATAAAAGATCTTTTCAGATTTAGAAAGGACAGTGTGAAATGTGAATGACTGGCTTTTAATACAACAGTTGTGACAAAGAGGCAGTGGCTTTTGGAAGCTGAATAAAGGGGTTAATACACACATCTGCATACTGTGCTGTTGGGTCCAATGTATAACAAGTTTGATGTTTGTTTCACTCACTTTATTCTAAAAAGAATACTATGTTATTCTCAGAGACAAACTAGTTTATCACTTTTTAGTGGTGAACTCTTTTTACAACTATAGGCACACAGGTTTGTTGGGTAAAACTGAACAACATTGACTGGTACTTGCTCAGACTTCAAAGCTTAGCTCCTTGTTGCTTGAATATCACATTAATCTGGTTCTAAAGGCACAAAAATAAAACACCCACTAACTACCTAGGACACTCCTTGGTGCATATTAAAACCCAACCTTTACCCTCCTCTGCACAAATGTGCTTAGGTGAATACTTGATTAGCTTGTTGATACAAGTTATAGTTGGTTACACCCTTTCTTAATAAAATACACCCTTATTGTCTTCTATTGCTTAAGAGCTTTACACTTGGAATAGGGGAACTCTCTAGTATAGAGTGATACTCAGTTTAAATTCTCCCAGGCAGTTTTGAGTAGACATGATATGCGTGCCATATACACAAGCATTCCTCCATTTGGTGTTTCTGCTTTGAGCGGACCTAGGAGAGCCAGTATTGCTGTGCTTTATCCCTGGGTTTCGCATATTGGTCTTGGAGTGAGACTGTATGTAATCCCTACATTTTGTATTTCCCACTTGTTCATGGTTTACCCAAGTTAGTGTTGTTGATCAATGATAATGGAAAAGTTACAAGTGATCATTTTTGGATTATTTATGGATTTATTCCTAAACTGGCTTATGAATTTGTGTTTAGGTGCCTGGTTGTGCTCTAAATCTGGTTTTGATTTGGCTTTGACCTTTAAGGATTGAACAAAGGTAGACAGCTTAGCCCCCCATCCCCCGATTACAGCTTACATTGTTTTACATCCAGAGTGGGACTGAGTTTATATTTGTTCTTCTGAATTGAGCAAAACTCTCATATACAACCTTTTGGGTAGGACTTTTTAAATAATAACTATGTAGCATAGCCCTAAAAAGTGGGGGTGTTTTACCTTTTTTTAAATTTATTTGAGAGCGAGAGAGAGAGAGAGAGAGAGAGTGCGAGCATGAGGGGGGAGGATCAGAAGGAGAAGCAGACTCCCCGCTGAGCAGGGAGCCCGATGCGGGACTCGATCCTGGGAGTCCAGGATCATGACATGAGCCGAAGGCAGTCACCCAAGCGACTGAGCCACCAGGCGCCCTAAAGTGGGGGTGTTTCAGATAAGACTTACTGCATAATGTGGGAAGAACCACATAATATGGAAAGTTAAATGACACAGGCCTTAATGTGTATATTTTTTTAGCCTCTGGAGATTCAAATTAAGTACATGAGAAATAGCCATTCATTGGTTAGTAGCACAACTCCTTAAGCAGGTATTTTAGTTCTGTGCACTTGCAAGAAAGCCTCAGAACCAGAAAAACAGGCTGCTTTAGGTTGGAAAGGAGGCGTTGCAGCAAAGAGCTTGCCATAACCACAGTCCTTGGAATTTTGTGAATCTAAAATCAACCTGAAAGCAACCAGAATCATGGTTGCAATAATTGTCTCCAGGTTCTGGATAGCCTCCCCACCCCCTGCATTTTGTTTTCTCCATTGACCCGATGAACTGGTAATTGTAGGAATAAGCTGAATGTTTGCCAGCAGGAGTCACTCTAGGCTTCCTAATAAAAAGTAAATTAAACTATGTTCTTAAAAGCTCTCGAAGGCCGTGGTGACACGTGATAAGATGGCATTAGGGAAGTGTTAGCAGCATTCTCAAATTATCCCTTGTGCCTTTCTTTGTCTAACTTAAGGAGACTTCGTTCTCGTTCCTTTCAAAATTGGCCCTTGGTAAATTCTTCTAAAGCAGCGTATATGGATAAGGATATCAGTATCTTAGCATTCTGCCTATTAGCTCATTTTGGCTTTTGTAGGATGAATTGGTTATATCCCACATCATCTATTTGAATGAATAGACGCACATCCTTCTGATGGTTGTTCATCCTAATCGTGCAGAAGAAATCACTGGAGCTGTAGCTGGTGTGAAAGATGTTAGCTCATGGTTTTCTGAAAAAGAACGGGTCCAGTGTGATGGGAAACTGAAATATTGCAGCAATAGCCATGAAATATAATAGTTTCCCAAGTGCATACAAGCTCAAGAAGTTAATTGTTCATTTATGTTTGATACTGGGATTGAAACATTGGATTAAAACCAATTAAATGTTCCTAGAAGCAACAGAAAAAGTTTCCTGATTTATGAATAGGACCATTCAAATGGCGCAGACACAATCCATGTAAAGTAATGAGGTGTTTTGTATTTTTGGCAAAGGAGAACACAAAACAGGCATAGGGGAGTTCTTTTTAAAAAAAACCTCTTTAAAAATCTCTTTGGATACAAGGTCAATAAAATAACATACACTAGTAGGACGGAGTAATGGGAAATCTAGGGCTTCACTTCACAAGGAAAACAGTCCCCCTCCCCCAGGTGAGCCGTACAATGAAAATACTCTGCTTATTCTATCAGGGTTACATTCCTGAACTTAAGTCAACATCCTAAGTTACAGAACGAAACATGCTCTGCGTCTGCTTAGCAACCACAAATCCTTCCTTCACCAGTTGCATATATTTTGCATGTGGCTTCTGAAGTACACATTCCTTTATTTCGATCAGCGCCCCTAGTAGGGAGACTAGCGCTTTATTTCCCCAAAGTGTGACAACGCTAACACAGCCCCCCCATCCTCTGCTGCCCAGCACGCCACCGAAATGATCGTTTCTTTGAAACCTCAAAACCCAACAACCCGGAAGCTGGACGTCTGAAGTCCACGCGGCCCAGGGTTTTTGCCCTGGTTCCTGCGGGGGGAGGGGGAAGACGCCCGCGGGACCCCTGGCTCCGGGCTCGGGCAGCCGCGGGGGTGGTGGCTGCGGCGGCGCAGCCCGGACCCGGGGCCACTTCCCGCGTCCCGGGGCCTCGCAGGCGCGAGCTCGGCGAGCAGCGCGCGGCTCAGTTCGCAGGACGCCCTCTAGCCCCGCCGGCGGCGCGCCGCGACCCCCCCACTCTCCGCCCACCGGCGGCTGCGCGCACTGCACACTCGCCCGCCGCTGCCGCCGCCGCACGCCGCCCGGCTCCTGCACGCCGCCGCCGCCGCCGCCGCCGCCGAGCGCCCGGGCCCCGCGACGCCGCCGCCAGAGCGCCCGACCCAACGACACACAGCCGCGGTCGGGCGGCACCGCGGCGGCGGCGGGCGCGGCGGGCGCGGGCGGCCTGGCCCGGACCGGTTAAAGGGACGAGTTGCAAACAGTTCAGGAAGTGACAAGTCGATTTCCTCCTCCCTGGGAGCCGCTCGGTACAAAGCGCTCGGCGCCGGCAGGAGAGCGTGCGCGCGGCGGACGCGCGGCGGGCAGCCCGGACGACTTGGCGAGCGCCGCTGGCGACGGCGCGGGGTTCGCGCCCGGAGCGCCCCCCCGCGCACAGTAAGCGACCCCGGGCTGCGCGGCGGCGGTGGCGGTGGCGGCCGGGGGGCTGGTCCCGAGCGGTGGTCCCTGCCTTGTGCGCCGCAGCGGCTGGCTGGAGGGACCCCTCTCGCGCGTGTGCTGGGCTTGCCGTTTTGGTTTTTATTCTTACCATTTTTTAAAAAAAATTACTGGTTTTCTTTTTTTCTGCCTTGTTTCGCGTTGGGTGGGGTGGTTTCTCGGGGCGCTGAGTGTCGCCCCTGGTGCACGCGTGAGACTTGTCAGAGCGCAGCCAGGGGAACGAGCCAGCCCGGCCCCTGCAGAAAAGTCTGTGCTTCCCCGGGGCGGGTGCAGGGACGGCTGCGCCGGGGGGTGTGCTCTCTCCGCGTCTCAACTTGAGTCCTGGCTCGCGGCAGTGGCGAAGGCGCCAGGACCCGGGGACCCGGGCGCCCCGGCTCGCCCCGAAGTTCCCGCACCGTTTGCAGACAACTCTTTTGTTCGCGGAAGTTTGCGTCCGGGATGCGGGCGCACGGCGGCGGGCTCCGCGGCTGCTGGACCGGCCGGGGTGGTCGCCCTAGGGGTGAGGGGGTTTTCTGCCCCGGGAGGGGGAAGCCCGCGGGGTGGCGGCGGCGGGGTCTTGCGGAGTGGGGGGCGCCGGCGTGGCTTTGCACATGGCGAGAAGGGCCGTCCAGCACGGGCACACTGGTCGAGTCACATTTTTGCCAGTCCTTGATTTGCAAAGCCTGTGGGAGTCAGCTTTCCCGCTGGGAGTTTCTCTTAGTGGGGCAGGGACGAAGGCGGCGAGGACACCCAGAGTCCGGGGAGGGCCCTCGGTTTGCGTTGCTCCAAGGGGCTTCTCGGGCACCCCCCCCCCAGCTTCCCACCCCCGCCCGCAGACTTGGGGAACAATGCTCGTGGCGCGGGACAGAGCGGCGGAGCACCGACGAGTCGCGCGAGCTAGCTTGTTCGGGTCCCTCGCCCCCGGAAGCCCCCTGAAGCCGGGCTCCCTCCATCTGACCGCCGGGGTTCATTAACACGTACTGTACTTCGTACGTTGGTGAACAAAGAACAGCCCTTTGCAGCATTTGATGAATGGGATTCTGCCTCCTATAGGCCACACTCTGAGTCTTCCACACGTTACAGCCTCGGGACTCGGTGGTGTTGGGCGAGTGGCCCCTCCGGTGGGCTGCGTTCCGGTCCCGGGACCCTGGGGCAGGGCATTGGTGCCGCTGCCGCCGCCGCGCTCGCCTTGCGGGAGCGGGTGCAGATGGAGCCAGGCTGAGGGTTGTTCAACAGGAACAAATGTTTGTTGAATTGTTGGATGGCGGAGACAAGGGACTGTTTTCTATTGACTGCTGCAGGAGTTGGAATGGCATTGTTTATTGGCCTGGGAAGCCAGGCAAGCGTCTTGTGCTGCTTACAACGTATTAGCAGACTTCCAAATGACAAACTAACATATGTGTTCCCAGCGCTTCCCACAGGCTGGAAGGGGATCCCTCCTTGCTCCAGATCCTAGACTTGGTTGGAAGATGTCACCCGCTCTGAGGACTTGGGAAGGAGTGAAGTTAGCAGATGGGGTGAAACTCACTGTTGCTGATTTGGCCAGGTTTTAGTTTCATTTTAATTTATCCACTTAGCAGTAACTTGTCTCAGTTACACTTTTGATACTGAATTGCCGATCTGTGGGGTTTTGGTCCTCCCCCCCTCCCCTTCAGCTCTGGACAGCCAGATAAACAGAAAACAATTATTTGTCCCCATTGATAGGCCTGTGTTAGTGGGAGAAGATGTGGGTTTTAAGTTCAGTACTGGTGGCCCTTGACCCGGTGTCTGCCCTTAGCTAGGATCTGGATGCTGCCAGCCATCCTGCAGATCCAGGAGCAGCCGATCCAGCTCCTGGGCTGTTGTTCCAGTCTGGAAAAGGAAGGAGAGGCTTGGAGCAGGTCTGTTTCTTCCCCCCCTGAATGCCCCTCCAGAGGACAAGGTGGTTTTAAGACCAGTTCAAATCATTTTGGCCAAGGACTCACTATTTTCCCCAGAGAAGGTAATATTGATGTGCAACCATTTTAACCTTGAAGACAAGTTTTAAATAAAAAAGCTAGCAGTACCGGTTGCTGCAGAAGTGGACTCGAATTCCTAAGGCTGGCAGGACAAGTAGAGCATTCCATGATTGTGATTGATAACGTTTGTAGTCCGTTTCTCCCTTCTGTTTTCAATTTAGGGTATGTCGTGCCCATAGTAGCATTTTGGAAGTTCATAAAGTTCTTCTAGGAAGCGCTTTAAGATGCCTTACTGTCGTCCTGGTGGATCTACTTCATTGACATTTTATGGGAAGCCCTGTTTGGCATTTCTGAGGCTCTTTCTCTCCATACCTTTCATCTTTCCCTGTCCCCCTATTGGTTCCTTCACTGTGCCCTGGCCTCCATCTCCCCAGTTCTCTGGAAGCCTAATGGGCTGGGTGTCCTTTAAGCAAGTTCAGGGGGCAGGCACCTGACCCGTGGTGGAAACTCGGAAAAGGCCAGCCAGCTCTCTTCCCCTGCAGTAGACTGAGAAGGAGGGAGCCTTGTACACCCCGGGAGCTGTCAGCAGAGGATGCCTCGGACAGGCTGGTGGGGTACCTGTGCAGTGCTCTTTAAACAGTATGCCCTTCTCCCCCCCGCCTGATGCAGTGGGCCCTGAAGACTGAGCGCTGGACCCACTGGCCCACTGTTGAGTTGATGTTTTATCCAGGCGAGTGTGACTTTCTTGAACTTCATACCGTACGGAAACTTTTTGTTCTCGCCCTTAAAAAAGCCTGAAATAAGCAAATACTCAGACCAGCACAACTGCCATCATTACCCCCCACCACACACACCTCTCTGACATGTAATAAAAGAAACCTGCAGGCATAATTTGTTATGTAATATGCTGATAATACAAGTTTTGGTTTTAGATGGAAACCAGATGTGGAGGGGCTCTCTTTAATTGATCCAGCAAGGGGGACACGTTAATAGATTAACTAGCCCTTGCAACCCCCCGAAGGTGAGTGTTTTTTGTTTTTTGTGTTTTTTTTTGACGTGAGGGGAGAATCCTAAACCTGGGGCTTTTTCGAGGGTGGGTTTTGTGGTTTCTTTCTTTCTTTCTTTTTTTTTTTTTTTTTTTTTTTGCCTCTCAGCTTCTTGCTTTGCTGCAGCTGTCCTTTTTGTCAGACTCTTCCTCTCTTGAAAGAACCGGTTTGTTGCCAACATGAAGCACATGGCCGGGTCTGGCTGGGCTCAGCGCAGCTTAACTCTGCTGGGCTCCACGCCCCCCCTCGCTTTGTCCAGCTGCTGCCCTGTCCTCCACCCTATAAAACAGGGCCTGGCCGAGGGACTTGCGTGCTGCAAGGAATGTTGACTGGCCTCCCTCAGCTCCTTTCTGAAATGTCTGATCATCCAGGGAGAGAGTTGCTGTTTAAACTTGTCCCATGAATACACTTTCCAAAATCATTGACTCTCCTTCTCTGATTAATTTCTGTGTTTGTTTCCTGCCTGACTTTACGAGGGTTCTTTCTACATGGCTGAGTCACCTTTATTATGGCCCAGGGTCGGGGACTGCACTGTAATAGCTGACCCCATTAACAGCAGTTTCATTGCGTGCTGGGATGTGAGCTCTGGAAACAAACCCAGAGGCTTAGATACGCTGATGTGCCCGGAGACTTGCTTAGAAAATTTTTGTTTTAGCGCAGTTTACATTAACATGATTAATGACCGCGCCACTGAAAAGTCTATATTCAAAAGCAATTTACCGTTCCCTAGGGTTCTTCTTATGGTGAAGTAATTTTCTTTGCCAAACAACTTTGTTTTAAGGTAATTTCTTCTTTGATGTTTAATCCAAACCTCCTGTTTGGATCAAGGCTTGGGCTTCGAAAATTGTGGGTTGTGGTGTTGGTGGTGCCTGTCTGAACCTTCCCGAACTTGGGTCGGAGGGCACCCGGATTCTTGATTTAAGAAAGCCCTCTGAGAGCCTAAGCGGTGGCAGAGTCAGTGCTGTGCTGGTCAGGACGGGAGGAAATCTTGCAGGGGAAACTTGGCTTCGGGATGTCTTGGAGGAGGGATGTAAGGAGGCTGAAGCCGAGGACAAGATTTTTTTTTTCCTTCCTTGCATCGACTGGAGATACTTGAGCTTTTTCAAAAAACAGAGACGTCCTTGCTGCAGCCACCTCCTCCTCCTTTTTTTCTTTTCTTTCTTTCTTTCTTTCTTTTTTTTTTTTTTTTTGTTAAATGTGGGTGATTGAGAGGGGAAATGCTGATGGGTGGGTCTGAAAGCAGCCTTAGGAACCCGAGAAAATAAAAACACATTTGAAGGACTCTGGAAGATTTTGCATTTCAAAGGGTCTACCTTGTAGAATTTCACATCACGTCAGGGGTTATGGAGAAGTGTGACAGGCACCCCCCGCTTCGTTAACGGTCCTGCTCCTCTCCTGCTGTGGGGGCTGCAGGGGAAGCTTTTGCAGGGGGGTGGGGTGGGGACCGTTGGGTCAGACTGCGCAGGAATATCTCGGAAACAACAGTACTCCTTCGGCATCTGTAGTCCCTGGAGGGACTTTTTCCATGGGGCCGCTCTCAGGAGGTAAAAGCAAATCATGTTGCTAAACAGCCCATTTGACCCCAGAATGCAGGGGCAGGCCAGCTCCTGACCACTCTTGCTCTTTTCCTTCGCCCGTGAAACAAAGACACAGATTCTCCTTCCGCACTGGCATAATGTGGTTCCCTAGTTCCCAAGATTCAGGACCATGAAAAGTTGGGCGCAGCAGGCTTCAGCCGAAATGGGTGTGGATTGTTCAAAGAATAATAGCAGTGCCCACTGGTTATTGAAGGCCCACCCTGGGCCAGGGGCTTTGCATACATGCTCTAATTGTCAAAGCATTCCTGCAGTTACAGCTCAAGAAATGGAGCCTCTGAGAGGCCAACTAACTGGCCAAAGGCCACACAAGGGCTAGGCCAAGAGGCTAGTAGTTCTGTCCGGGTCTGGCTCTCGCTTCAGAGCCTGGTGGTTTTGCACAT